AAAAGTAAAGAAAATAATACTCTCTCTCTCTCTCTCTCTCTCTCTCTCTCTCTCTGTCTCTCGACGAGAGGAGATAATTTCCTTTTCCTTTTTTTTTTATTCTCTTCTCTTTCCTTCCCCCTTTTTTTTTCATTTATCCGAAAAAGATCAAAAGACAAGGATAATGAACAGTAGCGTGGATCAAAGTGTTCCGTTCCGTTCCTCTGTCGGGGAAACGGAAGTTAGGTTAGGAGCAGGTGTAATTCGCGAAGAGAAAGCAACGGAAGGGATTGCTTTCGCCTCAAATCGTTATTCGAATCTTGTGCTGGAATTCGGATCACGTAACGTGCTACACGTCGCGCGCCTCTTTTTTTGCAATATATATATGTATATATATATATGTATACATATATATATATATATGTGTACATATACACACACATACACCCTGTCCCCTAGAAAATGCATGACGAGAGACGATGGACGGGCTTTGAACGCGTTAAACCTGCCAATAAACGTCCAACTATTTTTTTTTTTTTTTTTTTTTTTTCCTTATTCTTTCCATGCGACGAGCCTCTCATTAACCCTTTCGCTGCTAAAACTCGTAACGATCGACTATGTTCCCACTTCTCGAATATTTGGTCGTTATCGACAATCGTAAATCCCTTGTTTGAAACACAACGATTGTTTCGATCGATCGATCGATCTCTTCGTAAAGCAAAAAATTCGTCCAATTTTATTTTTTCTTTAAAAATATTCTTCTTATTCACAGAATAAGTATACGGATCTTTAATTTTGCCATTTTGATTTTAACGAAGTAATTTTTGTATTGATCAACACCCGAATATATATCGAATTAAAAAGGAAAATAAACAGAAACGCGCGAATTTGTGAATTACTCACAATTACTTCCTAACCACTGCCTCTGTCTTCTTTGTAAACCGTGTCAATTTTACGAAACTTTATATACCGCTTGTATATATATATATTATAAAATCAAACGAGGGATCGAAATTGAAACGGAAAACGAAATTATCCTACCCTACGTACGTAATCAGCTGATGAAAGGCGAAATATATAATAACGAACCAAAATGTTAGAAAACGTTGAAGTGCAAATGCAAAAAAAAAAAATGATCCAAAGAAACCGGGAAATTAATTGAACCAGGAAATTTTTCACGGCGAAAGGGTTAATATCACAACAATCCCTCTATCTTCTATCCCCTCCTCTATCTCGAGGATCGAAAATCGATTTGTCATCCTTTTGTCGTCTCGACAAAAAAA